CACATTTGCCATAAGTTGTGCATGTCCACTGATATCCGTAGATTCATCGATTTGCAATGCAAATTTCCCACTAATGCGAAACTTTTCCAAACCTATCTTTTTCAATGTCAGCAGACATGTCTTCAATACGTCTGGAAATTGTATTATTTGATAGAGGGACTTGGGCTATTTCTAACGGCGCTAGGGCCAAGCATCTCTTTTAAGATAATTTTGCAGGCAGTATTAATGTCTCTGCTAAGGTGTGTGGCTGTTTTGATTTAGCGATGAGTGCAGCAACTTGGTAGCTAGCTTTAAGTGCTTTCTCGCTAGTCTTGGTGGTTTTCCTCATTAATGCTGCCTGTTTCTCAGTCTGTTCATGCAGTTGAACAAAATAGTCCATGTTCTTATTTTGAAGTGATGGGTGTTTTGTCTGGAGATGGCGTTTAAGTTTACTTGGAATCATGGCACTGTTTGACAATTTTTCCTTGCCCACCAGGCATAGCGGAATTGGCTTGGTTGGTTCCCCAGTATAAGTGAATCCAAAGGCAAGATAACTTCCATCGTGTTGTCTTGAGCTTGTAGTGGTTAAAAATAAACAAGGTTCCAGAGGTAATATGTAATAGAACAGTATGTAGTTCTATGTAAATAATATATGGATATTATTTGTAATAGTTATGTAAGGGTGAGCTAAGTGTTTATGTAAGCTTGATCTGTTTCTCTTCTCTTGCTCAAGCAGGAATATCTTGGGCTGTGTCCCCCTTGTTTAATTTATGGGTAAACATCCAGAGCGACTTCCTCCTTAAATGGGATAGGTACAGTATTAAATAGGAAGATTATCACAGTTGTTGCCTGGGTAGGGGGAACAGACTCTGGACTTGACTGACTGACTGGGACAATCTTCCTATTTAACACTATATTTATTCCTTTGCAGAGGTGGTGATTCAATTCCCTATCTTTAAAACTATTGAACTGCCTTGAATTATTATAATGTTAAATTATCATTGTAATTGTGATGATTTGTCTGAATTAATTTAGTTGGTATCACATTCTAGCCATGACAACAGCATTTATGTGCATATATGTAACAAACATAAAAGATACGGTTATTATTTTTTCCATACCAAGTGCTTTTCACTTAAGTGATTTAGCAATGATACTTAAAAACACAGTTGTCCCCTCACAGAAAAGGTCATGTGTCTCTTCTCGGTCTCTCCACAGTTTCTCTCTACAATACGTTGGCCTCACAGGAGTTAGGCTGCAGTATCTCAAGTTTAACAATGAGTTTGACAGATTTTCTAAACCAGGGGTAGAAAAAGGCATAGATCACAGGGTTTAAACAGGAGTTAAAACATATTATAAAAGTCATAAAAACCTCAACTGAAGAACTAAATATGAGGTCAGAGCCAATGAGTGAGACACAATAATATGGACAGTAACACATGAGAAACACAGCAACAAGGACACCAAGATTCCTGGCTGCTTTCAGCTCTGATTTCTTAGCAGTTACAGTCACTGAACACTGCAGTGTGACTGCTGCAATGTGGGAGCGCATGGCACGGGCCTGAGACACAGCCACCACAAACACTCTCATATATAAAATGATGATGGCACTGATGGGAAGGATAAAGCATAACACAATGTCAACTGCACTGTTTATATTAATCACACATTCTCCATAGCAGGAGTTATACCTGCCTGGTTGTTTCAGGTTATCATATAAAAGCAGGAAGCTGTAAAAAACAGCATAAACCCAACACAGGAGAACAATTCTTTGAACTCTCTTTTGAGTGATTTTGGTGGGGTAGTGCAGAGGGTCACAGATAGCCACATAACGGTCAACTGATATGAAAACTATATTTAATATTGAGGCCAAGAGTATGATCGAGGTTATGAAATAAACCAGACCACACACCAGGTCACCCAGGAACCAGCACGGCTCTGTTAACAATATTTGAAATGGGATCACAAAGAGGCTGACAAGGAAGTCAGCGACAGCCAGAGAGAGGAGGAGGAGGTTGGTGGGAGTGTGGAGCTGCCTGCAGCGAGAGAATATCATCACTGTCAATATTATGAACAGAAACAGCATTATTACCAATGGAAATAGTCTTATAAAAACAGTAATGACACTTCAAACAACAGTGTATCTAAACTGTAAATGTTGTCAGCACTGCTTATGAACAAAAGTCTCATCAAACCAAAAGGATGTAATGCTCAGATGTCAATGATCGAATCTCACTACAACAACATATAATCAATGCTAAAACATTTATCTCTGCCTGAAGTGGGAGATAGAGATGATGACCAGCAGGTTGAGAGATGCAGTCAGCAGAGAGAAGGAAGACAGTGCAATATAAATGAGCATTGTCTCAGAGTGAGGACGTGTCTGCTTTTTGCAAGACGTGTTGAGGAGATGTGGAAAGCAGAGTTCAGCTTCCTCCATCATCAGAGAGAGAGGAGGAGAGGGGAAGCTGCTGAACACTCAGCTTTCTGAGCAAAGTTCTGTCATACAGCTAATTTATCTCTCTCATGTCTCCCCCTCCTCCTACTCTGCAGTCTTTCAGTCTCTATCATAGATACTGAACTCCCTTCTCTCCTATCTATGCATCATCATCACTCTTTGAAACCCTTTTCCCTGGTGTAACAGGTTGCTATTGGCTTGTTTTGGTTGATGCATGGACTCTAGTTACTACAGCACCAGCTACGGCCTTTAAGAGACAACATAAGAAATAAATTCTCCTAGACTTTTCGTAAACACACACAATAAAGAATTTTAGAATAAATGGTTAAGTTCACTTTATACTTTAAACATTGTGGGTCATTCACTCAAGCATTGAAATAAATCTGCACTGATCAATGTTTTCAGATTAAAAATAAGTCAAATAACCTCTCAACTGTTTTCCGAAGTTGTTAACCACATGAAACCATCCAGCCAATTAATTAGATATAATTCCATCTGACTTGTTTATCACAGTTTTTACAGTATTTGTCCCTATGTTCTTTGCCTTTTTAATGGTTGTTTGGTGTCAGGGTTTGTCCCAACTAGTTTTTAACATGCTGTGGTTCAACCACTTCTGATGAACCAGTTTAGTTACTACAGTATTATCTAATTTCAGACCAATTTATAAACAGCCATTTCTCTCTAAAATTTTAGAGAAGGTCTTACTCTTGCAACTGTAATCTTTTCTTAAATAGAAGCTGCATGCCAGTTCACTGCAGTTTGAGCTTGGAGACCAGGCGCCATTTCCCCAGTTCTTTGTTCTAGTGAATTAAAAAATTCTAGCAAGTTATGCCCCCTGGCTGACAAACTAAGCTGAGGCATTGTGCTCTGTTCATGTTTAGTTTACACTGCCTGTGTTCGCTGGTATTATTTACCTGCATCATCTTTTGGCTTTGTAACTCCACATAATCAAAGAATTCTAATCTAAAACAATGCAATAATCAACTCTAACAGATGACATTTGCCCTTTGCTAGATTACATTACATTACCTAAGGGTTATTCATTCATTCATTCATTTTCCACCACTTAATCCCTGATCGGGGTCACAGGGTGGGGCCTGAACCCGGAACCTTCTCGTTGTGAGGCAACGGTGCTAACCACTGCACCACCGCGCTGCCCTACCTAAGGGTTAAAACTATGTTATTGTAATTTTTGGTTAGATGACTGGAAAAGAACAACAAATTTAAAAATGAAGCAAGATTTTTCACAACTGCTGATTTTTATTTGAACCTCAGTCATTTCAAACATTCAGGACAGTTTGCACAAGCACAAGCTGAACACTCAGTAACCATTTTGGTCTAACAAACCTATACATCACACGAGGGGCAGAGCCGTCTTGAGTGTGTGTTGAATATGTCATTCTTGCACTCGATGCAAGTATATGGTGTTTTCCTGTCCTTCTTGGGTCCACACCACAGCGCTTGTGTTGCCTGTTGCTGGCTGCAACCTAGAATAATGAAAAGATAAGAAATTATACTTAGCAACTAGTCTCTCTCTCTCTCAAACAATAGGTGTCTCTCATTCAGTATATTGTGTAGTGGCTAAAAATAAACAAGGTAACAGTATGTACTTCATATAGATATTATTTGTACTAGTTGTGTAAGGGAGAGCTGAGTGGTTATGGGTTCATTAAGTTCATGTGAGCTGAACAATGAGCTTATGTAAGCTGGTCAAGATGTGTCCTGTTTTTGAAGTACATCTCAGGGTGTTGTCTCCCGAAACTGGAGACAGGAAGCTAAGTTCAGAAATTGATGTAACAGCCTAAGGAAAGCTGCTGATAAAAAGAGTGAGCCTCAAGGGTTAGGAGAAGAAGGAGAGAGAATGCTACTGGGACAGTAAACCGTGTACTTTTTGGGGACCCAGCCGGCTGGGGGAACGCTGAATTAAGACTGACAACTGACTGTGGGTTGACAAAGACTGACTGACTGACTGACTCTGTGACAATTCTCATTTAATACTGTATCTATTCCATTGCAGGAGGAGTGAATCTGTTCTCTGTTCCCTAACTACAAGATTATGTGTTCAAATACTACTCTATTCAGAATAATTGTAATATTAAATGATCCTTTAAATTGGGATGGTTTGAATTAATTTAGTCGGCATCACACTCTAGCCACGACACAAGCGTCTCAGAGTAGGAAATTTTTTCTGAAATATTGATTGTAATAAATATCTTAAAAGACAAATTTGTCTTTGACCATTCTTCATCAAGAACACGCAGGACTGGTTTCAAGTCCATCAACTGTCCTCAAAGAATTTGTGTAAAGGGAACCACATAACTTGATTTTATTCTGACAGGTGACTGGGAAGACTGCTGCAATTACTAACACTAACATCATTACTAATACTGATGTAAATAACTTGCTTTAAATGTTTGCAGGATACAGTGATGTTGTTTTTACATGTCTGAAGTTTATGTGATTGTGAAACAGCCTATTAGGATTGACAGAGAAAAAGGTATAAGTGGCAGACAGCGGATTGGACAGCGTGAAATTATATAGAGTTATAAAGGTGTTTGCATCAGATTAAATTTTATGGTGAGGCTGTGGAGCAGAGGTCTGTCCTATTTGTGGATTCCCACTCGAAGCGCTTTCTGTATGTGAATAAGTGTGGACTTTAATGTGTGTGTTTAAACATGTGAACATATATTTTTTTTTGGTGTTGTGTGATTGACTGAGATGTGTGTCTGAAGTTAGGGACAGAGGGATGATTGAGAATTGTGTGTATTGCAATTTCTTGTTGTTTTTGTGTCAATTTCATGTGTTTTCAGACTGTTTACTGTGTTGCTGAGGTAAGTATAAGATTTATTTTCTATTTTTGTGAAACAATGAGAATGTGGGGGGTAATTCTCCTCCTCTTTGCTCTGTTTGTGTGTGTGTTCTGCTACCTACTTCCTGTATATGTGTGTGAGCTGCTGACTCTGTGAATGTGTGTGAGAAGGTATGATTTATTAACATTGTGTAAATAAGTAACTGTGTGTGTGTGTGCTGGTTGTTGTTGTTGTCTTAGAATAGGAGAAATGCAGCCAATTGGGTGTTAGAACATCTGAGCAGACGGAGCAGTTTGGAGAAGCTAAAGGTCAGACCGGTTTGGAGAAGTTAAATTGTGAGCTATAAATACATGAGTGTCTGGTAGGATTTAAATAAAACCTTTATGACATGGCTGCAAGGTGAGTTTTGTACTGCTAGTGGGTCTACAGAGGGGATTGAAGCTCACATGGCAGTCACATGTTTGAAAAAGCTAAATTACAAATGTTAAGTTGACTGGTAAAATTATTATAAGTAGTATCTGTAGTAGCAGACAAACTTGCATCCTCGCAGTTAAAGTTTCAGTTAAATTTGCTTGGTGTATTTAACAGTTTGGAGAGTGATAAATTGCGTTAATGCAACTGCGAGGGGCGAAAGTGAATGACGCTAGTTCTCTGCCAGACTTGATCAGCTAGTTTGAGGCTAGCCTGTCCATCTGGGCACCGGTCATTTGTTTCTGTTGGCCAAGTATAGTAAAAGCCCACTTAAAGCGCTTTTTGCAAACAGTCCGGACTTAAATGTGTGTGTTTGATTATAGGCTGAGTATACTGTATGTGTTGTTCATGTTTTATGTAATGTGATAAAAGGATGTTTAAGAAAATATATATTGGGTTATATTATTGATTTGTACAGGCTGTAGATATACGGAATACTGTGAGATATTAACTGTGTGAGACATTGCAATTCAAGCACCAACACTGTTCACTGTGCACACATAAGAGGGTACAGTATATTGTAGAAAACACTGGTATCTTTATGCACTTATATGGAATGTAACTTTCACTGAGTTTGAAGTATGGGCACTGTTTCATATAACTGAACTGAACAAGAATGCAACCTTCAACCATGTTTTAATCAGTTGCAATGTGTGTTCACTCTAAACTGAAATGTACTTTTGGGAGTAGTGCTTAGCACTGCTTCACATGAAGGGAGTCACAGGAGAAAGCAAATGATTGAAAACAGTGGACATAAAGATGTCTGGTTACACTCCACTGTTTATACTTAATGAACTGATAAGGATAAGTTTTAGCTTTCTCAGCATTACTGAGTGTTCATGTAATCATTATGTGTATCATGTGTGCATGTGTGTGTACCTCTGTGTGACAGTGGAGGCAAGGTCATATCATATAATAAATAATAAATAAAGAATAATATTAATAATAGGATAATAATAATAATAATGATAATAATAATGTGCTGTTTTATAGGTACTATAGGTATTAAAGTCTGATGTTTATGAAGTCTCTAGTCTTTGAAGGTAGTGTAGTGTTTTGTAGTTTATAGACTTGTGTTTTTGTTTTTTTCAAGTTGTCATGGTCTGGAGAGTGAAGGGTCATGTGGGTATTGACTTGTTTATATGAATAACTATTTCTTAATAATTAGTAGTACATGACTGTTGAACATTGGCTATTGCACTTGTAGTTATAACCTACTATTAAAATGGTAGAGTTTTTTTGTTGCTGTGTTCGATGCAGGAGAGAATAGTGGCTTGTTGCTTTAATGCGGGTAGTGTTGCCTGTAGTTTTTTAAAGGGGGGAAGTGAGAAGTCTCACCTTCGCCAGTCAGATACAAACTGGAAGCGAGGGTGGTTCAGTGCCATGTGCTCCACCTCTTACCCTCCCCCTGAGCAGTTCTGTGTGCCTGTGATGTAAATGTGCACAGAGACACAGAGGAGGGAGAGAGTTTATCTTAAGGCAGTAAGAAAAGATGTAAATTTAAAGAGTTTTCTACATTTGTAAAGTAAAGTCTAAAGTAGTAGCTTTAAACTGTTGTTGAACTGCATTTTCAGTGCCTTATACTGGTACATGGGTAATGATAAGGAAGTGAATATAATCTAA